TGCCGTTTCATGCAGGCCATCTCATATAAAAAATAAACAAAATAAATAAAATAACAATCAACCGGTGTCGAATTCTAACACGCGATCAAGATCCTTTGGAGTTTTATAGTGTCCTATCACGTGAACACGAAATCTTCCTAGAAGATCCAACGAAAAGCTAACACCTTGTTGGACTTAAGATGAGAATGAGCCTGATCAAAAGGCGCAAAGTTGTATTCCAAAGCCCCTTTCGACAATCACCATTCACTACAAAGGGCCCCCACTTGGCCATTCTTTTGTGTGGCACACACCTCAACGAACAAAAGAACAGAAGACAAAGGAAAGACAATCGGTGCCATGACAGAATCTGGTACGGATGAATGGAAGTTTTTCAGTGTGAAGTGAATGGTCAAGGAAATGTGATTGTTATTTAGCCGCCAAAGCAGTTCTGGCAAATCATCTAATATGTGTAAATGCATGCCAAAATCCAACGCATCCCATTCCGTAGTCCCTGAAAATTCCCAACAATAAGCTCAACTTGATTCACTCGGAAGTTTCTGCAATTTCTGACTCAATTTTCTATCTCTCCCAATCATAACAAAACCCAGGGTCTCTCAAATTATCCCACCTCATAATCAGTGCTCCTCAAACTATAGCGCTGCCAACGCTCGATAAAGCGCGGAACATAGTCCAATAATCCTCAAATTGGACACGAGAAAACTCGATGAGTGACGTCACAAATTCGATAAACAACGTCGCAAACAAGCTCTGGAGAAGATTAGGGCCTTCAGATGGAAAGGTCAAGGTCACGCTAAAGGCCAATCAATGCCAGGGAGGGGGGCGGTGTAATGTCTACGGGCCAAGGAGAGACAAGCTAGGATGAGAACAAAGGAAGGAACATTTTATACAGAGCATCTAAAAAGATATGTCCTGTTCGGTCAGTATTGTTCGTCCTAGAAAATCACAAGAGGTGCAAGAGGATTTTGGTGCAAGAGGCCTCAGAGGCCTCTTGCACCAAAATCCTCTTGCACCAATGCTTGGATTATTTTGCATCGTATACCCAGTCCAAGTCTCAAATGTAACAATTTGCGTGCAAAATTTAGCAAGCATATGTATGATTATGTATTAGGCTATTGCAAACAAATTTACCACCGTTAGATTAGCTTATTCTGAAACCGGTTTTTTCGGATTTTACCTAGCTAGGTAGTTTGGTGCAAGAGGCCTCTGTTCTGCAAGTCCTGTTCTCAGGAGAGGGGTTACTGCCTTGACTGTCCTTTTTCAACGTTCGATAATGAGTCCTGTTACCACCTTTCGAACGCAGCATCTGCAGTTTTCAAACCCGGAACACCTTTCACGCTGAAAACCTTCACCTTTCACTCTTTCATCTTAGCTTTTTAGTCTTAGCTTCACTTTTTTATTTCATTTTTACATTTCATACCGATTATCACCATCACAAAGAATTCACCACTCTAGTTATGTCCAAACCCGGAAGTATTTTTCCCTGGAAATCCAACTTACTACACTCCCCCCCCCCCGCCTCCAGCAAATCTAGGTTTAGGCCTGACGCCCCCTCACGTGGGCGGGGTCGTCACATCCATTTTGACGACCCCGCCCACTCGCGTTCGCTACCACCAGCTGTCTAGCCAAGGTCACGAGACAGCGCTGCCCAAAGGTCAGAGGTCAGGCCACCGCCGGCGACCAATCGACCCAGCCGGTCCAGTGCGGACCGCTCGGCGAGGCGGTCGGTCGTTGGGCGGTGGCATTCGTTTGTCGGTTAGCGACCAGTGACAAAACTCAGATGGTTTTGGGATATATGTAGGTATTTTAATCTTTTATACTAAACCTTCAAAGGATGCATAGCATACAAAACATCCAAAAGAAACACAAAAGGTATAAACACACAAAGATTTAAGCCCTTGTTACACTGCCGAATTTTGGTACACGAATGTGCACGAATATGCAAGTCATCCTATGTCGCGGACCGATTCGGGATCTTTCTTCCACGGTCTTGGCATTTCGCAGACCAGTCGTTGTCCACCGCGCGACTTTTACGGTTCGTCACGACCGCCACGAATATTTCATGAAAAATGAAAATTTCGTGGCCGTTCGCCGAACTTATAATAAACGAACATGATCGCCAAACAGTCGCCGAGTCGCCGCCGACATGTCGCTGCGTGCGCCGACTTGTTGCCAAGGTATCGCCGACTATTCGCAACAGATTCGCCATTCATTCGCGATGCTCGCCAAATCATGGATCAGCTTCGACCCGCACACGATTAGGGGGTCCCCCCACCCGTTTTCTGCAAATCGGGCTCTGTCGGCGAACTGTTCGCCTCTGTCGGTGAACTGTTCGCCGATTTCCTACACGACGTGATTCGGCGACAGGGTCGTGGCCAAAATTCGGCAGTGTAACACGGCCTTTAAACATCCATAAGCATCCAAGCATAAACACAAACAAATCTAAAGGAAGGAAACGATACATCTCATGAGCACATGAGCTCTCAGCCACGCCGAACCCCCATGGACGGTCCTTTCAGCGACAGTTTGGGACCGGCGGCAGACGTCCAGTGGAGAACAGTCAGGTTAGGCGGCAGCAAGGCTGCAGTGCGTAGTGGCTTTATTTTCGGTGACTCTGACTCCAACTCCTGCTTCCAAGACCAACTCCGACTCCAATCCCGGCCAGAACTATCGACATCAATCGACCCCGAAACCGACTCCGGAGCCCCGGCAGGGCTGCGGAGTCGATGAATTTTCGGTGACTCTGACTCCAACCCTGCCCTCCAAAAACTAACTCCGACCCAGCAGCCCTGCGTCGGGTGGAGTCGTGCAGTCCTCAGGCGGCCGCGTCGGGCGTCGACGGCGACGTTGGACGGTTCGTCATCGTCGGCGTCGGCGTCGGTTCGTTCATCGATTCTGGAACTGGGACGGTCCCAGTCGGGCGTCGCTTCAGTCGGCCGTCGTCAGCGATACGTTGACGTCGACGGACGCGTCGACTTCGACGGAACGACTTGGTCTGTTTAGGTGCCAACTGGGTGTGGCCACAGGTTGAGTTGGATGGACCTTGTGGTGAAGTTGGAAAGTCCAGAACATCTCGAAGATTAATACGACCAAGAGAGGCGTCGTGCCCAGTGTTAAACTCTAATTCAGTGGAGCAGACTGAGTGAGAGTGGTGTCATTCACATAAAACCGTCACGCGGGTATTAGGGGAAGACGGAGAGCCGAGTTTCCCCGCAAATCAGTGACGTATTCAGCACAACAAGCAGCGAACAGCGCTCGGTACCGACGAAAAGCAAGTAGATCGTTCATCGAGTTCCAGCGAAAATGGCGTACCATGAATAACCTGGAAGCTGACAAACAACAGCAATCAGGACTAGCAAGGAGAGAAGTACATGTAAATTCAAAGACTGAAGAAACCACATTCAAAGAACCACTCTTCATGGTTCACCAATTACATCATTTCTAACCTCCCACCATGAAGACATCCCTCCTCTTCCTCCTCCTTTCCCTCCTCATCACCTCATCCCGTCCTGCACCCTATCTCAGCGACTCCTCTCCGTCCTCTGAGGACCCCTCCGAAGGCAGCGGAGGACACTGGGAGGACGATGAGGACGCCGTTCCTCTCTCGGAGGATCAGCGACTCCGTGACGCGGCTAGATTTAGAGATGAGTTACTCTGGGATGAGGAACGGGAGTTGGAGAGGACTAGACTGGTTCCTACGCCGCCTCTGCAGCCGCAAGGCGAAGACTCGAGTTCGGTGGTTGACTCTACGCCAAAGGGCGACTCTGAGACGGTCACCTCAGACTCCAAGTCTGCCACCGTGTCCATGGCAAAGTCTGATGTGCTGAAGGAAGTCTTGAAGGCGTCAAATATCATATCCGATGAACATCCCCACACCGAAAGGGATGATTTGTACTTCCAAGATAACACTCATCTTCAAGAGTCCGCACCGAGTTCCATTTCTGACTCCCCGGAGAAAGGAAATGACTCTGGACAGCCAACTAAACATGGTGGTTCGAGAACCGCACAGAACTCTACCAACAACACTTCGACGGTGCAGAATCTAAGCGATGAGGAGCCGGAAACAAATATTCCACCAGCAAGGCAAATCGACAAGAAGAAGCGGAACGAAGGTGAAAATTCTAGTGCTGTTCTTGTGCAGGGTATTCCTGTTACACCAAGACACTCGATTCCAGTTGTTAGCTACCCAGAGCCCCCGACGAAAAACGTGAAGCATATGCCGAGCGATGAAAGCTTAAATGTGGAGAAGAATAATGCAGAAGAGAAAAGCGGTGGGTCAGTGGATAAGACTGATGACAGCGAAGCACAAATTGAAGCTAAAGCAGCACAAGATAAGCCTGAAGGCAAGGAAATACGTCATGAGATGAGTAGCGACCAAAAGTCGACTCCGGAGACGAAAAAGAATGTTCAAGTTATCGAGACCAACGGCATCGGGATATTAGACGCTGAAAATGCTGTGAAAGCATCCAGAAAAGACGATAAGGCCCTAACAGAGAACGAGTCTTCACACAGCGGCGGAGACGGCATTGTGGTAGAGAAGGCAAAGTCAACTAGTGTAAGTCATCATGAGCGTATAGCAGATCCAATTAATGAATTAAAGCAACAAGATCTGACTTCCATTAAAGCCAAGCAGAGAGACGCTGTGGTGTCCGGTTCAGCACCAAACGAGACGCAAGCGCATGGCAATGCCGATGATCCAGGCAACACATCCACCGTGAAAGAAGCTGGAGGACTTGAACAAGAATCAATCGAATCTCAGAGTCAAGCGGAAGCAGACTCCGCCAATTCAATCTTACCTCACGTTGACAAAGGTTTAAGTAATGGCTCCAGTGGTGAAAGCCCGGAAGATGTCCTGCCCGCAGAGTATATGAGCAGTGATGCCTGCCGCCTAGCTGCTAGTCAGGTGAATGGAACAAAGAACAGAGACCCTGAGAGAACGAGTTCATCTGGCAAAACCACTCAGGCAGCTAGTGATGAAACATATCAACACAGTGATGCCTGTAAAGGCGCAACTTCAAACCGCAAATTAGAGAACAACGCGCAAAATGCTGAGAGTGAACAGCAACCAAGTCCCTCACAAACCCTCCAAACTAATGTTAATAGCGATCCATCTCATGCCGGAACGAAAGATGGAATATCAAGTGGGGTATCTGAGGGGACGAGCAAGGAAGAGCAGGACCACAAAAGATCTGACAATACTGGAGACAAGGCCGGTACAGAGGATTATCAATACAGCGACGCTTGCAGAACCGCAGCTCCTGACAACAATACTCAAGGCAAACCAGAGGACACAAACCAATATGTCGCTACTGGCAAGCCAGAGGATACAGACAAGGATCCCTCTCCCACGACTGTCAAATTGCAAGCAGGGAATCAAGTTCAAGGCGAAGTCAACCATGACGACGCCACGGTTATGCCACTTGCTGCACCTCCTACGTCTCAAATTTCCAACAACAAGACTGCCTCCCCTGTCGATCTATCGAACAAGGAACCTTCCCAGAGGCCATCTTCGAGTTCCAATGTGCCAGCTGTAGAAATTGGCGACTCTCCGGCTACTCCGACAGACAATGATGAGTCTCTTGGTGACAGCAATGTCAACCCCACGCCACCCGATGTCAAGGGACGAGATGAGCCTTCCAACACCAAAAACGCCGATAACGCAGTCTCCACTCTCACGGAAGTTGACAACATCTCTTCCAATCTCACCACCAGACATGACGAATCGCCATCCCTCCTCATTACCTCCGAGGATTCTGAGTTGATAAGCTCTAACGACCTTCAATCCACCCTCCCAGACCAAGAAGACGCAACATCTAATCTCACCGAGTCTGATACCTCGTTGAACCTCACCAGACCCGTAACCTCCGCAGCCTTATCCCGTCATTCCCCCTTCAGTTGCCTCTGGAGATGCCGAAGCCTCCTCTCTGAACTCCGCCTTCTTGTTGACCCACCACGTCTACTAGTAGCAGAAGAGGCTGCCGTTACCGTTCAGTGCCGCCTGCCGACACGGCTGGGGTCGCTAACACAACTCACATGGAGTTTTCGGCCGGCTGAGGGGAGTGAGTGTGTGCTCACACCGACAGAAGGAGGAGAGGAGGAAGGACAGCAATGTCAGGGTTTTGGGGAAGCCGCGCAGATGTACTTCGTCAACCAGTCCATGACTTCTTCAAGGTGAGTGATGGCGATTTTGTGGGTTGAAGGCTAGCGATAGTTAGGTTATGACTTGTTCTTAGAGTTGGTAGGACTTGAACTTTTAAGTGAGTAAGAGTCAATTCATGGCATCCTTCAGGCAAATGCTACTCAAAGAACGAATCATTTTCAGCGTAGACGTCACCGTTTTTTATTTTAACAGATATAATTCAAAGGTTTGCTGGCTCAAAGCTTGCAGTACAGTTCCATCGAATCACCATACGTTCTATACAATCGCGTTGATCACGTTATAATCACTGTCTTCAGCTGTGAGTCTCCTTTGCCACACCTATGGCCGCCTGACAACGTCCCGCCTCGCCTGTTTGGTCAGCCTTCCCCTTCCCCAGTCCACCGCGTTTCAGTCTAAAGGTCAACACTATTTAATATCCTCGCGCGTGCCGTTGGCTGCCAGGCACTGCCAGCCTGAAATGACCCAACGTCCGACATTTGGGAGGGGTGGAATCCAAATGATAGTTTGACATGTAGGATGAAACTGGACATGTTCAGAATCAGGCTGTTTAGTTTGTGTTGTGTAAATTGTGTTCTGTTGCTGATGGGATGGTCTGGATGCTCTGGGGCACACATCACCAATTCAGTTTCGGCAGGCATTACCATAGCACATGCCATCACGTCCCAAACACCTCATTAATGATTCTCCCCAAATCATCAACATATACCCTTCTTCAACCAGCTCTTCCCTCGTATCATTTCCGGCTGGTCATGCCCTAAAATAAACGTTTAAGACTTCCTTCCAACTAACAATTCCCCGATATTATTTCGGACTCTCCATACTTCCAATAAACACCACTCTAGAATCATTTCACACCCGACTAACTGTCATTTCCGGCTCGCAATCCTGAATCAACTCTGGCCTTATGACGTCATACTCGACTAACTCTTTTATCATTTCAGGCTCGTCAGCTTTGAGCTTTATCATCTCATACACAGCTAACTCTTTCTCTATCATTCCAGGCTCGCCATCCCTCGGGTCACCTCAGCCCTGGCCGGCCACTACACCTGCACCGCCCGGGTACAATGCTGCGCGGGAGCTCCCAACCCTCCAGTCGTCTCCCGGGCGCTGTCAACGTACCTCCACGTCTATGGAACACGGGGAGGAACGAGCCAGTGGGTCGTATCAGCAGCTGCCGGGATCTGTCTCGCCATAGGAGTCACAGCGATAGTGGTGCTGAAGAGGAAGTGGTGCCGCGGAGCCAAAAAAGTGGGAGGTTCAATAGGACGGTATCGGCCAGTGCCGGAAGGAAGAAGGGTAGATGAAGAGCTGCAAGAACGTGCGAGGTTGTACACTGGGCCTCTGGGAAGTGTTGAGGAAGAGGAGACGGAGCTTGCCGAATCGGGCGTCCCGGTGAAGCAGAGACAGCAGTTTAGGGAGCACCGTGATGTGGAGACATCCGGTGTGGTGTCTAGAGCCAACAATCGCAGCAGCAGCGCCGCCAACATCTCCACCAAAGACGGCGCTTACGCCAAATCCTTCACCAACGCCACCTCTAAAGCCAGCGGAAATCGCGCTAGCGCCTACGTCGACGAAGAAGACAACTACGACGAAGAAGAAAACTACGAGAACTACGAAACACGCTCGCGAAGCCCCGGACTCGGAACAGCGTTCTCGTCACTTCCCGAGACCCACATCGCACGTACCCACGCGCCTCGACCAGGCACCATTCGAGCCAACCCACTTGCGTCGCCGGAGTTTCGCGGAGGCGAAGGTGGTGGGAAAGTCGTCTCGCCAAGGTATGAGATACCTCTCACCCCGCCTGACGCGCCTCCTACGCCACCCGGCGGACCGCATGGAGCATCGATGTCGACGAAGGGGTCGTCGATGTCGACGAAGGGATCATCGATATCGATGAAAGGCCTGGCGATCTCCAAGCGATCGACAATCCCGAAGAAGGCGTCTCAGACGACTTCAGGGAGCCAGAAGAAACCACCAACAGGATCAACCACTGCTCCACTATGGCGCCTGGGAGCAGCTGCTAGAAAATGATGACGTCAGCGCAGTGACGTCATGTGAAGAGGTGACGTCATAAACTATGACGTCATGAGATTATGGAGCTGAACTGAGGGAACGGTGAGAGATGTAATGTTAAGAATTAATGAGGTAGAACGGAATGAAGTGGAGTGGGAGCGCGATTAAACACTAAGTGGAGCGTAAAGTTGAGGCGTAAAATGACAGTGATGTGCTTTGCTACGAGGGGCATTCCACGATAGATCGACCAAGGCCTAACACCCGACCATTTTTGATTTTGATGAAATCTTGTCTACAGGGTTCTCTTATGCCCTGAAGTCAATGGTGACAACGCCAGACCCCTACGGTCAGCGGTTTAGGAGATATAGCCCCGGGCATTTTGACGAGGTCACTCTGCAGAGTGATTTTTGAAGTGCTATATCTCCTAAAGGAATGAAGGAAATGCATTAAACCTTTGCATCGTTGTGATCGTGGTGAAATGGGCAATTAATTGGCCATCTCGGATTTTCAAAAAAATGATTTTGATTTTTAGCTGTGACGTCATCAATTTTTAAACTTTCTGGCTACCCCCCTAGTACATTAAAATTTGCCATTATTTTTGCTCAGAAATAAAGTTCCGTCAATTTCCTTTCGACTGGGAAAAAACAAAAATGGTAATCTTTCTACAAATATTTTATTTTATTTTTTGAAAATCGCACTACAAACTCTGATTTACAGAATCGGGTTATTAAGCAATATAAGACACATCTGCGAGGACCAGTTACTTCCAAAAAGAGGTTATCTGGGTTTCGGCATATAACCCGCGCCCTGCTGGGGGGGGGGGGGTGTTTGAACACCCCCGCCTTGTGGTTTTTCGCGAATATCTCAAAAACGGCGGCGCTCCGCGCCGCCGTTTTTGGTACACCTTATCATACATCAATTCTACACATGTAGTGAAAATTTCAGACCAAGGTCATTCAAGGTCAGGTCACCAGGTCACTCGAAGTGACCTCACCTCATAAAAAGTTTCAATGTCTGTCATAGCTACACCGAGTGACCGATCGCTTTGAAACTTTCAGAGATTGCTAAGAGCAATAACATGTACAAAATGTATATCTCAGAATTTTGATATCGATGACCTAAGGTCAGGTCAATTTTGCGACCTCCCCATTATAAGTCAATGGTAGAAAATTGAAATGCGCCTCTTTTGGACGAAAGACATTATAAACACTCCCAAACGCTGAATTACAAGTGGTTTAGACACACGGAACATGAAAATGGTGTCCGTGACCCCTGTTTATGCCCTGAGGTCATCTTAGGTCACGAATGGTATCTAACAGTTTTTCGCAAATAACTTTTGATAGAGGCATGCTAGAGCGATGAAAACGCCTTAGATGTGTTCAGCTCGACGATACGGATCGACTGATATGCAACATGACCCTTTCCGGTCAGGTCATGACCTTGACCTGAGGTCAAATTTTCAAGTTGACCTTTCAAGGTCAAGTTATAGTTCATTCGATGCGTCTTGACGAGAGGAACACGATGCCGGTAAAAGTAAGCTCGTACAAGGCTTGGGTCAAAAGTTATTGCAGAAAAACTGTTTCCGAAAAAATCGGCTATTTTTGCAGTTTTTGCCCCCTGCAGGCAAAACCGTTGACGTTAGGTCAAATCTGAGAAAATTACTCAGAAAGGGCGCTAATAGGGCTATCGAATGCGCTTTTCCGCGGCGCTGTAGCTCTATTGGTTCCCGAGTTATGCGTTGGCTTCTTGGATATTGTCTACATTCGACCTGGAAATCGGCGAAATTTTGCCTTCAATGACCTCTGGTGACCTGACCTTTGACCTGACCAAAAAATTGACCGAAGTGATTTCCTCATTATTTTTGACGCTCTTTCGAACGCTGCCTTCCGCGTATCGCTACGTGGCCCAGGAGCCGAGTTAGAAGGGGGGGGGGGTGTTCAAACACCCCCCCCCCCAGCAGGGCGTGGAAATCCAGGACCCCCAGCCGGGCGCGGGATAATATTCTTCTCTTTAACTTCACTTTTGATAACAAAAAAAAGAACTTTAATATTACTTGCACAGGAGTCAATATAATGGCAAAATTATACATACTTTTGAGCTGCCACATTTACCTTGTTTATCAACGTAGCTCAAATGACCAACCGACAGTCGATTTGCAAAGCATATTTACGAACCGACTAATTATAAACGAACAAAATAATTGGTAGTTTCAGGAAGGCAAAAGGTGGTGTAATGTGACTAGGTATTTCATCAGCGAATCATCATTTTCAACGCTGGATGCAATAAAAGCCATAAACAACGGAGTGCACTTCTATAACAGTTGCAATAACAGACGGCAAAGCACCAAGACAGGAACGAGATCACGGCCACACAAACACACTTTTTACTTGGAACGCACTCCGTTGTTTATGGCAGCTCAAAAGTATGTATAATTTTGCCATTATATTGACTCCTGTGCAAGTAATATTAAAGTTCTTTTTTTTTGTTATCAAAAGTGAAGTTAAAGAGAAGAATATTATATGCCGAAACCCAGATAACCTCTTTTTGGAAGTAACTGGTCCTCGCAGATGTGTCTTATATTGCTTAATAACCCGATTCTGTAAATCAGAGTTTGTAGTGCGATTTTCAAAAAATAAAATAAAATATTTGTAGAAAGATTACCATTTTTGTTTTTTCCCAGTCGAAAGGAAATTGACGGAACTTTATTTCTGAGCAAAAATAATGGCAAATTTTAATGTACTAGGGGGGTAGCCAGAAAGTTTAAAAATTGATGACGTCACAGCTAAAAATCAAAATCATTTTTTTGAAAATCCGAGATGGCCAATTAATTGCCCATTTCACCACGATCACAACGATGCAAAGGTTTAATGCATTTCCTTCATTCCTTTAGGAGATATAGCACTTCAAAAATCACTCTGCAGAGTGACCTCGTCAAAATGCCCGGGGCTATATCTCCTAAACCGCTGACCGTAGGGGTCTGGCGTTGTCACCATTGACTTCAGGGCATAAGAGAACCCTGTAGACAAGATTTCATCAAAATAAAAAATGGTCGGGTGTAAATCTGATAAAATTTTGGTCGATCTATCGTGGAATGCCCCACGAGCTAACAAGAACAAAATAGTTCTGGTGAATGATGACAAAGCTCGCAGAGAGGCGTGACGCAAACCATTCGTGATGCGCTGAAGTGAAGTTCTCTTCATGAAAGTGAAGTGATTGGGAAGTGACGTGACACTAACTACGCAGGTGATGAGAGTGATGTGAAAACAAACGTATGCCCACCGCCGGATGCGTAAAATGACGTTGGTTAACGATGGTGATAGATGTCAGTGATAGTAACGGTGAAGCAATCGACGTGTGATGGCGTCTCAAAAAGAAGTGTGGCGGTTCTTGACACTCTAGCTACACGGCGAGCGACCATGCCCGTCATGTTAAAAAACGTCGGTGTTACAAACAGTGATCCCCTGTGACATCCCCTGACAGTGTCAAGTGACGGCGAGTGACAGTGTCACGTGACAACGACTGACGGAGTCACTTTTCGTGACAGTGTCCTGACATCCGGCCAACCGGTCACGCCACGCCGCTCCGAGCTAAGAAGATTACAGCTCCCGCAATGGACTGGTTTAAATTGGGTGACGCAATCCACTCCGATAAGCGCAGGGCTGAATTCCGTAGCGTTGAACGCTCTAGGCCCCTGTCGTGTCTAGTCCCGGACCTTCTAGGTGATGTCGTGTCTACCAGAGTTTATCGCTTTGTGAGATGAGAACTGTACACCAGCAGTTTTACGAGACCTATATTTGGTCCGGGCACATCTTCTCCAGCAAAATACTTAGCGTAAATGCAGAGTACTCAGACAAATAAGCTAGTAGACTGGCGATTACGACCATAAAGAAGAGAATCGCCCCGCGTTAAACTGAAAATACATACGCGAGTGCATTTTGAAGCGCGAATGCGCAGTGCTTACAAATGCGTTGGGCATGTTACGATACTATGCCTGACTACGTATACCGCTAGGGACAGGACTTGTCTATAAGGCGGCAGCATTATTTTCAGGCGAGCAATATAATTGCGGTGAGAGAAACGCTAAGAAACTTAGATTCGTGTGAGTGAGCTTCTGCCAATGTGTAAAAGGCATGGGAAACCTGTGATAGGAAACTTGGTTTGTGACGCTTCGAGAAAGGGCTCCATTCTTCACGATCATGCCACGTGGAAGACGGAAGTGCCGTGAAACACGTGGCAGCGTTTATTGTGTTTCCGGACACCTGAACCACGTGTTTCGGTCCATGTGTTGAGTCCAGTGTGTTGAAAACACGACTTTGATCATAAGAGTGATGCGAAAGCTAGTGAATTTTATTGAGGTGTGATACAACCGTGCGTTAAGGCGTGTGTGAACTGTGAAGGATGCAAGGCGTGATTTCTTGCCGTTATCCAGTTTCATTGGGGGCGCTTTTGAGTGTGTCCTGTTACACTGTTATCACATGTCAAATTTGACAGCTGTGACCACTTCGTCAGTGCTGCCAAATGGGTTGGTGCTGCCAAATCCGTAAAACGCCCTGCACACACGCTTGCTTCATGCTCTGAGCTGTTGTAAAGAAGTCAGCGTGACTTGCTTGTCTAATGTCTAGTGTTCGATTAAAACCGGGGTGAAATGTTCAACTGTAATAACATTCATAAACATCACTTGAAAGTTTATGTTTCTATTTTAAATCACACGGAAATAATTAACTAAGGCTCGGTTAACAAAGCTAATTATCACGGGTTTGACTTATAACCAGTCTGAATCGCAGTCCCAAGCTATGACCTAAAACCACGCTGAGTCCATCGAATAACAGTCATCTCATGTCAACTTGTCAATATGTGAACCTTTGCTTAGTTTTCTGCTTCATTTATGACCGTCTGAGCCAGGTTTGTCCCATCTCAACACGACTATTTACGCCTTGTCGCAAAATATTACGCCGTCCTTCGAGCTGTTTTCTGCTACCAGTGTGGCTGTTCTATTCTGCGTGAGCAGGTGTGCACGCTGCTCACGGACAGTTGTGTATGCTGTTGACGGTGAAAGTGTGAGCGAATAAAACACTTGGCTTTTGGAGAATGTATATGCCTGTGTGAGGGTTTTGGGTGTGCATGAGTATCCTGATAATAGCATCAGTATGTGAGCTTGGAAGACGGTAATCGAGAACACATGCGTCCGTCAAATCAAAAGTGACAAAGACGAGAGC